GATTGTTGAAAACATAATTCAAGTCGTCTAGAAACAAAAACATCCGTTAAAATTAATTTTCAAGATGAAAAAGAAATTACAATACAAGAATGAGTGTATGGGAAATAACAATTGTAAATTAAAATCAGTTGTTTACGTAGTAATAATACGCCTTAAGCCAAAGGAGTTTAAGAGTTGACACGATTTCATTCTTGTTATTTATATGCTTGACTTCAATCACGTAGGTACATCATTCATATTAGGCAGGTATATATTATTCCATGATACACGAGAGAGAGGAGAGCACAACACCCACCCACCCACGCACAGAGCGATGGGAGCGCACAACCCACCCACCCCACGCACAGAAGCGATGGGAGAGCGCACGCCACCACCCACCACGCACGCACAGAGAGCATGAAAGCGCACACCACCACCCACGCAAGGAGGATGGAAGCACACACATTCCGCCACCAGAGCGGGCGGGAGAGCACACACACCCACGCACAGAGCCGGGGAGGCGAGAGCACACCACACCACGCACCAGAGCGGGAGGAGAGCAACACACCCACGCACAGAGCGGAGGGAGAAGCACACACACCCGCACAGAGCGGGAGGGAGAGCACACACATTCCACGCGACAGAGCAGGAGGGAGAGCAACACATCCAGCACAGAGCGGGAGGGAGAGCCACACATCCACGCACAGAGCGGGAGGGATAGCACACACATCCACGCACAAGCGGGAGGAGAGCACAACACATCCACGCACAGAAACGGAGAGAAGGCACACACATCCACGCACAGAACGGCAGGGAGCAGCACACATCACGCCAGAACGGGAGGGAGAGCACCCATCACGCACAGAACGGAGGGAGAGCCAAACACATCCACGCACAGACGGGAGGAGAGCCACACATCCACGCACAGAGCGGAGGGAGAGCACACACATCCCCGCACAGAGCGGGAGCGAGGCACACACATCCACGCACAGAGCGGGAGGAAGAGCACACACATCCACGCACAGAGGGCGGGGAGGCCAACCACATCACCGCACAGAGCGGGCGGAGAGCACAACACAGTCACGCAACAAGAGCGGGAGGGAGTGACACACATCCACGCACAGAGCGGGAGGAGTGCACACATCACGCACAGAGCGGGAGGGAGTGCACACACATCACGCACACAGCCGGAGGGAGTGCATCATCACCACAAGCGGAGAACATCCAGTCGCCGAGCGGGGGGCACACATCGCGACGAGAGCTCGGAGGATGACACAAACACCACGTATCAGTTAAGCAGAGCATGGTATGAGAGAGATATATCCTATCACTATCATAAGAACATACGCACGACCGACACCAGAGACTAATGAGCGAGAGCGCATTACTACATCCACAGCAGCAGACTATATCGTTCTGGAGAAAGCACATCACTTGTTGGAACAGACTCTCTACATGGAGCGAGCTATACTGGGACGAAGCGCACAGAGGTGTAGCCCAGAGCGACCGGAAGGCACACAATCCACTTCATATATAGCGGAAGGGAGCTCATTCTGACCCAACTCATCAGCCGCGAGAGACTACAACGCGGACGCGGAGCAGACCCAACACACCCACCACAAGAGTCGGGAGGGAGACGCACACACACCACGGCACAGAGCGGGAGGGAGAGCAACACACACCCATCCAAGCGGTGAGACGCTTACGTCGCATCTCCTCTGCAGCAGCCTGAGGAGCTACCCACACCTCACGCACAGAGCGGGGAGGGAGAGCCACACCTCCACGCACAGAGCGGAGGGAAGGGCACACACCTCCAGCACAGACGGGAGGGCAGAGCACACCACACTCCACGCACAGAGGCGGGAGGCGAGAGCACAAACACATCCACGCAAGCAGACGGGAGGGAGAGGGCACACACTCCACGCACAGAGGCGGGGAGCCCAATCCGCACGAGGAGGAGACACACCTCCACCGCACAGAGCGGGAGGAGGAGCACACTACCATCCACGCACAGTTAGCGGGAGGGAGAGCACACACCATCCACTGACAGACGGGAGGGAGAGCAAACACATCCACTCGCACAGAGCGGAGGGAGGAGCACACACTCCACGCACAGAGCGGGAGGGAGGCCATACACACTCACGCACAGAGCGGGAGGGGAGAGCACACACTCAGCACACGAAGGGCAGGGAGGCACAGCAGCGAGAGCGGGAACCATCACCATCTATGAGAGAGAACGAACTCCGCACAGAGCGGGAGGAGAGCACACACATCACCACAGAGCGGGAGGGAGAGCACACACATCTAGCACAGAGCGGGAGGGAGAGCACAACCATCACTGCACAGAGAGCGGGGAGAGCACACACTCCGGCACAGAGAGGGAGGGAGGCACACACCCCGCAACAGAGAGGGAGGGAGAGCACACATACGCCACAGATGACGTGGAGGGAGAGCACACACTCCGCGACAGAGACGGAGGGAGAGCACACCCAAGCAACGGTAGAGAGCACCCAGGCAAAGAGAGTGGGAGCACCAGCACGGAGGAGGAGCACACACCAGGCACAGAGAGGGAGGGAGCCATGCAGACTCAATAATTATAAGCGACCGGCATACAGCATCTATAGTAGAGAGGCGGAGCGGGATGAGGCACATCAGGAGCGCGACGCCGCCATGCATGACAAGGCGAGTGATAAGTAGCTGTGTAGATGCGAAAGAGTGTGTGTATCTGATTACGAACCCTAAGGCACATGATTGAAAAGTGAGTTCTGGAGGGATGAGAGTTGCACGCACATCGGCGCGGGAGGCCACGGCACAGAGAAGGGAGGGAGAAGCACTCCGCACGAGAGAGGAGCCACACCGCAGAGGAAGACACCCTCCGCACAGAGAGGAGGGAGAGCACACCCTCCGTCAGGAGGAGAGACAAGCGAAGAGGAGGAGAGCACACCTCCGCACAGAGAGGGAGGGAGAGCACACCCTCAGCACAGAGAGGGGAGTGGAGAGCACACACTCGCACAGAGAGGGGGGAGAGCACCATGTCCGCACAGAGAGGGAGGAGAGCCACACCTCCGCACAGAGAGAGGGAGAGCACGCCTCCGAGCACAGAGAGGAAGGGAGAGCACCACCTCCCGACAGAGAGGA